ACCAGGGTCCTTGACAACTTAAAACCTATACTTAATTAATGAGAGAAAATGCACAAATGACAACCGACAGCATTTGCGGAATAGCACCAATTTTCCAGCACATGCTAAAAGTGCATAATCACATGTCAGGCTGAAAGTCTAGAAGTCGTGGTTTGGATGCTATCCTTCTCGCTTTAACTCTCAGACACAAGTGTAATTAATTACTAAGTACGTGTTTGCAATGCTTAACCGAGAACACTAAACCCATCCGCACATATATAATATATACATAGATCGGAACCGAGACGAATGCTTAGCTAAACTATTCGCACTTCAGCTTGGAATATCTTGTCGAGTGTTCAAGGCTGTCTCAAGTGTATTCCTCTCCCTGTTCCACCATCTGCAGTCCTGACTTCCTCAACATGTGCATTTCAATATATATATATAGATATATGTTTCAACGGCTCGGACCACGCCCAGTTGTCAGTTGTGGGCGTCGCCTTTGCCTCAACTGAAAAGTGTTAAATAACAAGTTCAAGTCAAAGTTTCTCCTCCCCACCCGGCGAAGGAAAAAGTCCAACTTTTTGCCTTCCAGTCTTATAAATGACTCTCAAGGCTTTTGAGTTATGAAATGAGCTCTCCATTCTCAGTATCTCGTCCCCCATAGTTCCCCAACTGTGCTAGTTCTCCCCCAGCTGGAGTGGAATGATAAATTATATCTAGATGCACCCCGTGAGACATTCGAAATATGCTGGTAATTATTTTGTTGAATGTCGCTCAGGTTTTAGGGCGAGAATTTATTATCTGGCTGGACGACGCCCATAGACCAGGCCATAATAAATTTGTGCGGGTTACTTGGCCAGGAAATTTATAAATGACTTAAAATGCACTCTATCTAATATAGGGTAAAATAGTGCCTGACCCATTTATTAAGAGCTATAAGAGCATAATCCCTATAAGGGAAGAGAACATTATGATGAACCCAAGAAATCTTAAGAATTTAAATACCTGCCCATTAGAGGCAATCAATGTCAAATTTATTAAGAAAGTTTCTAAAGTACACACTTCTCCTAATTGTAGTTAAGGCGTGAGGAGTTTTGTCAACGTCACGCAAATGAAAGTGGGGATTTAACGAGACAGCCAATGGGGGGATGTTCCGCCACCTTTGAAAGCCTGTCAAAACGCAATTACAATTAGAATATAGTGCGTTGTCCTGGCAAGAAAGCCAGACTGGCTTACTGTGAAACAGAAACTGACAGCAAAGCCAAGTCAAGACAATTACGGCCACTCTCCAACTGGCCCGAAGAACCAGCCAAAGGAAGGGAACACTTCCTGCGAAAACTGTGAAAAACGTCAAGTGCAGGCAGGCAGAAGAGTCGACAATGCCAACTGGCTCGAAGGGAAAACTGACAAACCGTGGTGGAAAATTTGTTTTCTTCTCGGCAGAAATTTGTTCAATTTCGTTATAATAATATTGTGGTTTTCGCTGTCACCCTTCATTTTCAGATACCTCCCATCAACTACAATTAAATACAATTCACTTAAAGGCCAAACCAGAATGTCAATCAGAGAGTTCTTTAAATGAATTAGCCACTTTAAATAATGTAATTCTGGGAGAATGAAATTTCATCACCATTAGTTGGGGCTAGCGTTTTTTGTTTGGCCACCTTTCTGCGGTGCAGAATTGCCACCTTCTTGGACGGCTCCGGTAGAACTTTTTATTTAACCCACACACTCGCCCGGTTCAGAAACTAGTTTCGCTTTTTCTCTCTGCTAATTGCTTGTCCATTTTTCAGGTTACGGATTACGGGTGTGCCGGGATTGGCAGAATCCGTGGAGAGCGGGCGGGCAACCAGGTTGCTATGTAGGTCGCCAATTGGATTTCAAGCAATTAAAAGCGGATTAAAACGGCAGTGTGTTACGGCAAATGAAAAAGAAAACTTTACCTTTTTTGCATTGTTTTTTAATCTGGTTGTGTTTTGTCGTTGGTGGGCGGGAAGTTTCATAGAGATTCCCTCTTCCCCTGTTTGCCCGGAAAGAGTCTGTCATCTGTCACTTGTTTCAGCATTTTTATGCGCATTAACAAGGTAATTGCAGCAGCTTTGAGGGGCTTAAGAGTACTACACGTATATATCTATATATACAGCTGGGTAAGGGAAAATGTTGACTTATTGTCGTAGCTTGTGATATAAGCGAAGGATCAGAAGTGGTGGACGTTCAGAAAGGAGAAGAGCAGTTGCTTGAAAATTAAATTTTTTATCCATTTGAGTGCTTCCACAAAGCTTCTTTAATGAAATAAAACCCAGAAAAGAATATCAAAGATTTGCATAAAAAATGCCAAAAGAAATTCCACAAATACATTATTAAAGGCTTTATCTTTAAAATAATATTAAGTATACGCCTATTTAACACACACCTGTTTAGAAAGCTTTGCTCTCAAGTTCTCTTGCTACAATTATTGAAAAGTTTTCCTGCTCTTAAGCTACGTGAGCATTAAGTGAGCGCCAGGCATAATGTTTATGCATTTATAATAAATAATATGGCAGCGAGGGGAGTAGAGAGCACAGAGCTCCACATCGGGGTGCCGTGGACGAAACACGCAGAAAAGTATGCTACGAAGTTATGCAAAGTGCAGCTAGCAGACGTGGCAGAGACAGCTCCGCTCCGCTTGCCACTTGAGAAACGTTGCGAAAATTCTCAAGCAACTTGGAAACAGAAAAAACAGTGTCACAATGCATAATGGGCTGGCTAAGAGAAAAGGGGCGCCGGCAAACGGTGCTGGGAGACTCTTTCCAGTACGTTGCGACAGAATGCAGGTTAAGTTCTTGACGCCAGCGCCACACAAAGTGGCAAAAGTTATGCATGGACCTGTGCTAAGAACCGGAGCGCGGCAAGTGTCAACTTGTTTGATTTACCTCCGCCGAAGGAGCACAAGCACTGAAAAATGGCAAGAAAAAAAAAACAAGTAAAAAGTGTAATCAGCATAAACCTGCGAACGGCAGGTTGGCTCTCTATGGCAATTTCTCATGCACCAATCAGTGCCTCATTACATGCAACCAGGCTAGGCGGCACCACTGCCCGGGACTATGGGCCTCTCCACTCACCTCCTGGTCCTGGTCCATCTGCATGCCTGGAGTATATCAGCTTCCGCTGCTATAACATGCTGACGTGTTTCCGGCGCACATACCTACGAAAAGAAACATTAGGGGAAAAATAAGGACCAGCGAACACAAGCGCCGGGCACACATTTGATGTGATTTATGATTTTTTCCCGTCAAAAGCCAGGAATAAAAAAGAAACGAACAACTGGTGTCGAGTTCTTAATAAGAAACTAAAAAGATGGATTAACAGGATACCCCTTAGTTAATATACATTTTTTAAAAATAGATTATCACATTTTATGAATTTTAAATAAGTTTTATTGCTCCTATGCATAAAATTCTAATAATCCACAAAAATTTAAACCTAATTTATGTTTATTAATAAATATGAGCTAGTAGTTTTATACCTTGGAGTTTCTGTATACTGCCCCTTAAATTTGTTCCCTTAACGATATTTGTTTTTCGCTTTAGTTAACGGCAATTAATTCTTAACTTCAAAAACTCCTCCTCGTCCAGCAGGATCCAGAACCCAGCACGGCCAGAGCGTTGGTAACAAGTTAATATATCAACATTACGCCGTACTGGAGGCCAAAACCTAAAAGTCAGCGCCTTGATTTTGCGCTTGACTAATTTGGCTTTCGCTTTTGTTGCCTTCGTCCTTTGGACTGCGTTTTTCCCATTTTCATTTTGTTGTTCTGGAAAGTTTTGTAAACGAGCTCGTGCTACTTTTTCTTTGCTGTTTGGAATCTGCCGTTGCTGTTGTCGTTGCCGCCGCGATTTCTTGTAAAATTAGTATTTTTGCCATCGTTGTCGCCGACTTTCAGGCTTTATCTTGAACTCCATTGGTTGGCAACAGTTTGGACCAAGAGAGCAGCAGGCCAGCAACAATTTGTTTTTCGCTCCAGCAATTGCTAGCTGGATAAGCGGAGAAACTTTCGCATTTTACTTGATATTATTCGCCGTGGTGTCCTGGGGATCAAATAGAGTTTAATTTAAGTTTGTTGCTTTAATTATTAATTAAATTGAATTAATATTATCATAAAACTAATAGCATTTATTTTTATTTTCTCGTTACAGGTAATAAATGAATAATCACTTAGCGCCATAAATTTCTAATATTTTGGTAATTAAATACGACAGAAAATTTTTAAACAATCATAACTGGTCCTAAATTTATATTTTCCTTAAAAAATACACATTTTATTAACTTACTTCCAGTATTGATCTTGCAAAATTAAGTTCAAACACCTGAATTTCTTAAAAGGGCGACCATTTAATTATTTTAACCTTATTCTGGCTTCTAGCTGATGTCCTTGCTTTCTTAATTGCCCCGTAGTGCAGGCCTTGGTTGACTTTCGTTCAGTTTCAAGTTGAATTTTTGGTTAAAATTTTCTGTGGGGTTTTTTGAGCCTCAATGTCGCACTGGCATTTAAAATATGCAAGGCATTTGACATTTTAATCAACCCTGGCCCTTGGAGCGCAGCTAGTCAGACCCCAAAGAAAACTGCACAGCGCTGATGTTTAACCAGAAAAGACGAGGGAGAAGAAAGTTGATGAAATTCCTTAATGAATACAAATACGCCCTGCTGCTTTCGTTCTTGGCTATTATTTTAATACCAAATTCGTGAGGTTTTTCCCCTTAAAATACATGTAGAAAGCCTGAAAATTCCTATCAAACTCCATAAGGAGAAGGACGTTTATTGATTTACTTAAACAATGATTATAGTTGTCGAATGCCCATGTAAAGTTATATAGACCAACGTGGCGTATGAGTAATTCATCTTGCATGCCTGTCATTTATGGCTGTGCCAAGGCAACAGCTGCAACCTGCATGATAGGAAAATTAAATTAAGAACACTTGGGTAAATAAGAAATTATACACACATACCTCAAGAGTTTCTTGGTTTGACATTTGGATGATTTATATTAATTTCGGTGTAATTAGTTTTACGTTTTAAAGGGTTAATCGGAAATTTATAAAAGTAAATACATATAAAGCATTTAGAATTATGTTAATTATGATATTGCTAAATTTCTAATGTCGAATTTTGAGTTTCACTATGCTTTAATTTTTTATCCTTTAGGCTGGGCAGTTTTTTTCATTGAATTTTCCTTTTTGTCATTCTCTGAATCATCACTTGAAGAGGAAAATCTGAACGCCTCCTTTTTTTCATCATCTAGTTTCATAAAAACATCTTCTAGTGAGGCCGGACTGACCGAGTAGCTTTCCAATTTCCATGCAGTTTTTTTCGATTCGACAAATTGGACGACCTTGTCCATTTGTACTTGAGACAGATTATACACCACACAGCAACCTACTCGTTTTCTAAAATATAACGGTTATACTACATTTGAATATTTAATTAAAATAATTTTCCTACGTTAGAGATGAACCTTGAAAGGAAGACATATCGGATGCAAGTTTTCGAAGGACTTCTTGCTGACTGAAAAAGATATTTAGGAAAATGTTTTAGTTAAAGATAATCAGATACTCACTCTTGTGGCTTTCCTTGAACCTTCATTTTGAGGACTAGGGTGCGAGAATTTTGTGCCTGCATGTTTTGCACCTCTTCTGGAGGTTTCATTTCGCCAGAGACTAGAACACCGATCCTGGAGCAGTTTGAGGCTACTTCATCCATGTTTTGGCTTGCTACTATTACCGTCCTGCCCTTTAGGTTTTTCCAGAGCGACCGACTCGCATTTTCACTGATGCCAGTAGTAGGCTCATCCAGGCAAACTATGGATGGGCCACTGGACTCCGCGGCTAAGATTATTTTTCGTTTGGCAGCGTCACTGCAGTCTTTGGTTTTCTTGGGCAAACACGATTGGATATAAAAATCTTTTCCCAGTGTTTCGCATTTTGAATCGAGATTTTTGCGTGAATCGCCGCGTAGCAGTAGGGCCATCTTGAGTGCCTGTTTGCCACTCATGAAATCGTGAAGGTCACCGGACTGCGAGCAGTATGCAACGTCTTTTTTGGCATTTGTAGTTTCGACATTATTGCCCTTGATATAAATCTCGCCAGAAGAGGTCTTGATTTCACCCGCAATCATTTTTAAAGTAGTAGTCTTTCCAGCTCCATCGGCTCCCAACAGACCATAGCACTCGCCTCTGAAAATATTTAGACTTAGACGTGGATATTTAGATGTCTAGAATTTAACGTACGGTTCCAGTGCAAGGGACAAATCTTTTACTGCCGTGGTTTGGCTATATTTTTTTGTGACTTTATCCAAAAATACAGGATATTTTGCTTCTATTTTTGGTTCACGTGTTGAAAGAGATGTTGCTGTCTTTTTTTTCCCCGCAAAAGCCCGAAAAAAATATCCTTTTTGTATAATCCAAAGCAAGAGAAACCAGAATATGCCGTGAGCCAATAGCCACCAAATCTCAGGCCACAAATGCAATGCTGTGTATAAAGAAAATAAATCGTCGAATCGTTTAAAATTTATCTGAAAATAAGAACAAAAGCTAACTTCGGAGCCCGAAATTTTTAAAATTTGTTGTCCTTTTTTTGCGATGGAATCCCTTTAAAATGGGGTTTTCCCCTATAGGGCCCACAGCGATGGCTATATCTTCCCCAATTCTGATCCGATTCTCAAGCGGAGTACCTTAAACGATTTCATGATCGATTCCCCACCATTCGGCATAAAAATCCTAAGACAAAATATTTTTGAGATTTTTTGTCCAATTTTGTGAGGGGATCCCTTGAAAATGTGGTTTTCCCCTATAGGGCCCACTGTGATGGCTATATCTTCCCCAATTCTGATCCGATTCTCAAGCGGAGTACCTTAAACGATTTCTGGATATATTCCCCACCATTCTGCATCAAAATCCTGAGACGAAATATTTTTCAAATTTTTTGTCCATTTTTGTGATGGAATCCCATTAAAATGGGATTTTCCCGTATAGGGTCCACAGCGATGACTATATCTTCCCCGATTTTGATCCGATTCTCAAGCGGAGTACCTCAAACGATTTCTGGATCGATTCGCCACCATTCTGCATCAAAATCCTGAGACAAAATATTTTTTAGATTTTTTGTCCATATTTCGGAATGCGATCCCTTGAAAATTGGGTTTTTCCCTATAGGGTCCACAGTGATGGCTATATCTTCCCCAATTCTCATCCGATTCTCAAGCGGACTATCTTAAACGATTTCTGGATCGGTTCCCCACCATTCTGCATCAAAATCCTGAGGCGAAACTATAGGTTTTAAGCTGAGAGACTAGTTCGCTTAGAAACAGACTGTCAGATGGACACACAGACGAACATGCTTATATCAAAATATATATACTTTATAGGGCCGGAGATGTTTCCTTATGGATTATAATACCCTCTGCCAGGGTATATTAATGAAGACTCGCACCTACCATCGCATCCACACCTTGGATGAATTCGTCCAAATCCGCATTTAAGTGAAGCACTCGCCGCCTGGGTTTCGCAATACTTATGTCCATAAATAGCCTTAAATATACCGAAGCAACCTATTAATGTGGGGAAAATCACCAGGTACAAGCTGTTATTCAAAAGAGCAGTGACTACGTATATAAATGCGAATAATATGCCACCTGTTGGAAAAGAGTTATTAATAAAATTAAATGAAAGTGATTGTGAACTTTACCAGTAAACAGGTGGATGAAGAAAGCACCTACTAGTGCTGCTTCTGGTGACTTGAATATCAAACTCAATACGTAGGTGAAGGGCAGGCAGGCAAATCCAATCATTATAAGGATAATAAGTATTTGGACAAAATGGGTTATGTAGTCTAGGGCCAGGGCTGAAAGAGTCATACAAAGGCAGAGTACTAGGAAGTCCCAAACAAAGTGTGTGAACCAAAAATGAAATTTTCCCAAGCCTTGAATTTCCTGTTGCAATTGTAATTTTTTTACTCGTTCTTCCACCACGAACAGAATGAATATGCTTAGAACCAATGCTATATAGGCACTGACTGCAATCGTTATAGTTAATCGTTTGCCATTCAACTTATAGTCGCTTAAAATTTCACTTTGTGCAAACTTATGGGGTTGTTTGAAAGCTGGATAATTTGGTCCTTCAGCCAAAAAAATATCTTGCTCGGATCTTAAGCCCGATTTGCTTGGAATAATTAATCCTAAATTATCAAAGACATCCCGCTGGTGCCTCGTTTGGTTAAGACTTTGACGGTATTGTGTCCGTGCATACTTTTTGGCAGATTTCTTGAGAATTCCTCTGATGAGGGAAATGTCAAAACGTTTTCCAATGACTACTTTAAGGATAGCTCTGTATATCAAAACCATAGATAGCGCAGACGAGTGCTCAAATGAAAGATCGTTGTACCAGGCGGTGACGCCAGAATTTTCGTCAAAACTAGCACCACACACATATTGACGTTTCAGTTTTTCCATTAAATGTGGTTTGTAAGTGATTAAATAGCTCTCAACCGATGATTTGATCTCCTCTAACACGGCGGGTTTCTTGACTTGGTCCGCATACTCAACCGCCTCTGCCTCATGACCATTAGGATCTTCCAGCAATACAATCACGTCCTCTGGAAAGCTTTCCAACCTTATGTGAATCCAATCGGCCAAATCCGTGCCATGTTGATTCTTATTATTGGGTGGCCCAACATAATTCACAATCAAGAACCATATTATTGGTATGATCACGATCAACAGGAACATGAATTTGTGGCTCCAAATGTAGAGGGCCTTCTTCATCACCATGGCCTCGATTACTTTGCAGCATGTCCGGTTTCTTTTGCCGCCCTCGGGGTTCGTCCTCCATTCCCGTTCCGATGTGTCGGATTCGCCCTCATGATCGGTGTCTGCCTCGAGCTTTTGTGGTGGTTTCCTTTCCGCGGCGTCTGTTTCTTTATCTCTTTTTTCCCTGGCAGCCCTTTCTCTGTCTTGTCTTTCCCTGTCTTCTCGATCTCTAGCTTCCTTTTCTCTGGCTTGCCTTTCTCTTTCCTCCGTTTCTCTAGCTTCCCTTTCTCTAGCTTCCCTGTCTCTGGCTTCCTTTTCTCTGGCTTTCTTTTCTTTTCCTGTTTCCCTTTCTCTTCCGGTTCCCTGGTCTCTAGTGGGGCCTTCTCTAGCTTCTCGTGCTGCCGCTTCTCTAGCAAGTCTTTCCGCTTCTGCAGCCGCTGCGGCAGCTTCTGCAGCCCTCTGGGCCCTTTGAGCCCTTCGAGTTTGACGATCCGGTGAGTCTGTTTGGGTCGCCAAGTCTTCGGTTGATCCTGGGTTTAAAAATAGTAAAAGTAAACATTGTTAGCAACACTATCCTATACTTAAGACTATTCCTTTCATAATGGGTTATTTAATATATAATATTAGTTACATATTTAAAAAATACTTACTTTTTGGAATGTTGCCACCTGCTCTAGCACGTTTCTTCCTGGGACCAGCTTCGGTTTTGAAGACATTCTCCAATGTGGCATCTCGCCAACTAAAGCTTATAATATCGAGGTTCTTTTTGTGCTCCTCCAGTTGTCGAAGCATTTCCACGAACTTATCCACGAAATTACCACGAATAGTATAGCTAATGGATGCTCCTTGGATCAAGGCTTTCGCAGTTTGGACATAGCTTTTCACCAGATCTGTCACCTTAGAGTCCTGACAGTTCGGTCCCTTTTGGCAGGAGAGTTTGTATGTTTCATAATTATTCATTTTAATGCTCTCCATTGAACCCTGGCTGCAGACATGGCCTTCGGAGAGGATGAAAATGCGGTCGCCCAGCATTTGCCCCTCGTCCAAATCCTTGGTGGCTAACACGATAGTCCGACCTTTCTTCTCATTTTGGAGTAGCTCCATTACCTGCTGTTTTCCGACTGGATCTAGGCCAGAGGAGGGTTCATCACACAATACAACAGTGGACCCACCAACCAAGGAACAGGCAAGGGATACCCGTCGCTGGTTTCCTTTCGATAGATTGGAGACTTTTGTATTTTCGTACTCTTGCAGGTTTAGTTTCTCGATGTAGCTTGAGGTCTCTCTATTCGCCGCTGAGGCTTTTTTCCCCCTCAGCAGACTGAAGAAGGATATTTGTTGATTAACAGTTAGTCCACTGAAGAGCACATTTTGCTGTGGACAGAATCCGATTCCACTCCTGGCCCTATCTGGGTTCCTCACAATATCATAGCCATTGATTTTGGCTATTCCTGAAGTGGGTTTCTCGATTCCGGCCAACATGCGCAATGTTGTGGTTTTGCCAGCACCACTAGGACCCAAAAGGGTCAGGCATTCATCTTTGTACATCTTTATGGACAGTTTGGAAACCACTGTTTTCTTGTTAAATTCCTTCGTAACTCGATCCAAGTGAATCGCGGGTTCATCATCCTTGTGGTTCTGCCCGCCCATGCAGCGATCATCAGCGTCAGCAGCTGCAGGTCTTCGAATACAAAAGCTCAGTGACTTTACGCAGAAATCCAAAACTTTCCTGGCAGTATCAGAGGACAAAACTGGTAGAGCTGGAAAGGATCGCAGTGACTTCTTACAACTGGGACATGGAAAGCTCCAGGAGTGGGTCCCGGGCATCAGTTGCTCCACATAAAGGGACAGAAACATACAGATCAGACTCGTTATAAGCATTATAGCGAGGACACCAAGGATACTGATATCCTCTGGTACTATTGTGGCAATGAACGTGTTCCAATTTAATCCAATCGACATTTGCTCCAAACCGCAGACTACGTTAAATATATAGAACATGGCCGAGTTCAGGCAAAAGCAGCAAAATATTTGGGGCATAAGCTGCACAGACATGGGCGGCACCAATGCGTAGGGAACTACACTGGCCACGAATAGTACGATCGTGGCGAGGATGCCCCAATAGGTCTTTGAGCAGAATGAGCTTATGAGAAAGGCAAACGTTATGCACGAATGGATGTATACTATAAATAGGATTATCAGAATAAAGTAGTTGCTAAACGCATAGACGTTGCTGAAAGCCACGAATATTAAAAAGAGCACCAGGCATGTTAGAAAAAGTATTAATGCTTTTGTGTACCACGCCAGCCAAAGTAGGCAGTTGCCAAGTCCCACTGCGTTCAAAAGTGATTTTTCTTGATTTTCCTTTTCGGCAACAATGTGCTTAAAAAAAGTTTAAAGAAAAATATGTTACTCGAACGTAAAAAAAGTAACGAGTCGGGTTTTCCGACAATATGGTATACCCGGTACTTTTCTCCACCACCTGGACTTCTTCTTTTTATGGATTCTCAAGCATCAACTCTAGGAGTTGATCAACATAAATGCGACTCTTTATCAAAAATCTTGTAGATGTATTTATCTATCTGTCTAACGGATGGACGGACGGCTGATCAAAATTATTTTTATTGTATGTGATGCGAATATAAGATAACTTTATACCATATAAGTACCGGGTATAAAAAGCCAATGCTGCCCTCAAAAGTATACTATTCTTTTATGTATACTTCAAAGGATATGTAGATAAAATGCAAATACCTTGGTGAGTGTCACGGTGGGAAGAAAAAACGATGCTAAAATAATAATGGGCATGGTGCAAGCTACCTCGGCATAACTATTATTCTTGTGTCTCGGGTACGGTAGGTGCTTCATTTTGACATTCGGCAGATAGGTATTACTACTGTTTTTTACACGTTGTGCAAATAAATTGATCAATGTTTTTTGTACGTATAAAAATCCCGACTCGAAATAATCAAAATCTTTATGATTTTTATATCCCGGCATATATATAAAGAGTTTTAGATCTTCGGGAAATTCATTAAAGGTAAACCAATCATCGGGAAAAGCCACTCCGAGTGCTCTGTCGTTTTCGGCCAACCCCACTTCAAGTTTATGAATGTCAATAAATCCGCTTGATTCGTTGAATTTCGTTATATTAGCAAAATCACGAAAAAATCCCTCTATAAGATTATTATAAGGTGAAAAATACAATTCGTCGTATCTAAAGAAATATTTTCATAAAAAGTCAGTGTGACACAAAATTTGCCATTTTTTTAAATACACTTACAGGTTCGTTTCAACACTCTTCGCTGGGAAAATTTTGGCTTCTTTTATGTTCATATCATAACTAATAATCCCCATGATAATGCTCAGTAGAAGAGGTATGAAAAAGCTAGATAAGACTACCAATAAAAATTCCGTGGGATTTGAAAGGATGACACGAAGGTCCTTCCATAGTAACAATCTGAAACTCCGGCAACTGCCCATAATGCGCGTCCGATAGTAGAACGCTTCTCCAAAGATTGATTTGGAAACCTGTGTGGATGTGTGTTGAATTCAAATTTTTTTGTAACTGACTTTTAGATATTAGGTGGCCCGATAACACAATTAAAACAACAATTGAGACTGTTTTTCCCTAACTTGTACAGTCATGAATTAACTAAACTTGTATCCTTTTGTGCCAATGGGATAAAAACTACAAATTTTGATGGGGCCTTAACCACAGGCGTATACTCCAGTTCATCGCAGCCTGGGGAGGCACATTAATGGTCGTATTTTGTGGGTGGAAACATAACTAACAGTAATTAGCTACTTTATGCCATGGTCTACACTCCAAAACACTGCCACCCACATGCCAAATCTCACAGAAGCCCACAGATATACATGCCCTCGTTTGTCAAAGTCCCCAATGCCGAGTTTATGTCGGGAGTTTTGCGGCTTGTGTACATTTTGTGGTCAATTGGGAATTGCAATTAACGCATAGTTTTATTTTTATTGCCATTCGGGTACCATGATTCAACTCCCAACATAGTGGGCAGTATCCTCCACTCACTTGTCTGCCCATGAATGCATAAATAAATTTCCCCGGGACTCCCTGGTCGGGGAATCGCTTTTTGTGAACTTGGCCCTTGTGTGCTTCTTATTTATCCTCGTTTAACCGAAATAATGCGGAAAGTCGTAACTCTTACAAGATTCGCTAACGATACAGTATTAAAACATATACATATATATCTTTGTGTTGTGGTCAAATATTTTAGCTAAAACAATGTCACTTAATGTGGAATAATATTGTGGAATAAAATATTGATACCATATCTAAACCTTTTTTGCTTGCGGTTTTTTAACAAAATTAATTTACGAAACCATTTTTTCTCAAAATGCTCTGTTTTTCCACATTATTCCATTTCATAAAGAATTTTTTCAAGTATTTCAAAATAAACTGCGAAATAATTAATAATTTTAATCGTGCTTTTTATTTGGAAATAAGTTAAATTCCAAAGTCCCAATAATTTTATATTTTTTGTGGAGCCGGAAGTGTTCAAAATTTATACAGCCCTTTGCCGGCAAAAAAGTAATTTGCATTTTAATAGCTTCATTTGCGTTTTTCTATTGCCACAAATAATTTTGTATTTGCATTTAAATTCGATGCCGTCTTCTGATCTTGTCAGCCACGGGAGAGTTTATTGAAATATATGTATGTGGTTTTTCGATTTTCACTTGCAGAGAGCAACTAGCTAGACTGACGTTAATTTTCACAGCTTGGCCAGACCCTCTGGCGTTTTAATTCGAGACGTCAAAAGGCGTCGTTAACAAGAGAATGGACTTCTAACTCAACAGTCAACAGCTGCCAGTCAAAGCCAGAGTAGGCGCATTGTGGTTTCTCCTTCAAGGTGGCAGATTAAGCCCCGCTGTGCCCTTTTTAGTGGACAGGACTCTGTGTGGTGGCCAATGTGTCAGTCTTTCGGTCAGTCACTCAGTCAGTCAATCAAACAGTCTGCCACAGTGTGTGTTTGCATAGCCAGGAGCCATTCACCTAGACATTTAGCCAGTTAGCTAGTTAGTCAGGACACGCCACAGAAAACGCGATTTCAGGCATGCCTCAAAGCACTTGCAACCAATGCTAATTAGCTGACTTAGAGAAATGTCGTTGACTTTTGAGTTCCTTTGAATGCAAAATATATGGAAATTTACCCCGAAGTAAGTTTAAAGTTTCTACAAGAAATTTAATTTATTATTTATAAAATTTATTTGCTTATTTTAGTGTTGTGTTTATATTAAATGGCAAGTATTTTTTAGGCTTTGAACTATCAGGGTTTTTCTAGCTCGGACGCATAATGTTGATGTTTATATTTCAATTGAAGGAGCTAATTTATCTTGTTCCGCTTTTCAATGTCTATTCCCATCTTGTGTTTGGAATAAAAATTTCAAGCAATTTCGGTGCGGTGGAAGTACAATTTATCACATTGACGCTGATGAATTGTTTGCTTCACACTATGACAACTTTATCGTTGACTCTGCTGGTGTTTTCACCATCCAGCTATCCACTCCTTCATCCAGTAGAGCTTTTGGTTACTACTTTGAACATCATCAGTGCGATTCTGGTGCTTGTCTCCGGGTTGTTTGTGTTGAATTGCTTGTAAAATGTTTTGTAACTGTCATGGCTTGTGTCCTTCGAAACGCTACTGATGCTCCCCATGCTGTGTTTTCAGATAATGATTAAATATCGTCTGACTTGATGCATATTCTAAATATTCTTTTGGCTGAAACACAAACATTTTTATTGCGAACTTTTTACCCTCGAAGTCAAACTTTAAGTTGGTTTGACTTTATGAATAATTCAACGCCGAATATCAACCCTTTTTTGGAAAGACGACAAGTGAACGAAAAATCAGAATCTCGCCAAACTTCAATCAGGCATACATTTTTATTGGGGGCATATGCTTCCCGGTTGCAGATGGTGGGGTTCGGCACACAAATGTGTAATAGCTTGCTGGCTGGATGTCTGACTGGCTGCCTGCTGATGTACTGAAGTGCTCGTTGTTTTTGCTGTAACTGCTGCCGTTATAACTGTCACTTGTCCTCGATACACTTGTCCTGTCTGCCAGGATGCTGCCTCTGTTCTGAAAATGGTGGAGCTGATGTCACTGCTGTGCTAAAATCCTTTGGCTCCCCTCGCTTCCGGCCGTTAAAGATTTAAATTTATGCTGCGACGATAACGCGC